TAAACCTGCAGATTAAGAGCGAAGTGCTCTGTTAGGACCTGACCTGGACCTTTCAGAATAAAAGCATCTGGATGTAGTTCTGCTCTGTTTCCATGTGAGAACTAGTCTGTGACAATGAAGCTCTTCTCCAGATGTTTCTGACGGGGTTCAAACTGTGTTCAGGAGGTCCAGTCCCTGCTGCTGAACTGGAAAGGCCAGGACCTCACCACCTACGGCGAGCTGGTTCTGGAGGGAAACTTCAAGGTTCCCCGGGCCAGACACGAGAGGACGCTCTTCCTGTTCGACCGCATGCTGCTCATCACCAAACGGCGCGGAGAGCACTACGTCTACAAGACGCACATCTCTGTGAGTAACGAGCAGACCCGCGGGTTCTAACCAGCGGCGCCGGGCCTGGTTCTGATGGTTCTGTCTCTGCTTCCTCAGTCCTCCACGCTGCTGCTGATCGAGAGCGCCAAAGACTCTCTGAGCTTCAGCGTGAGCCACTACAAACACATCAAGCAGCCTCACACTGTGCAGGTGAGGCGGTCTGTCCCAGCACCCAGCGACTGGTTGGAGCTAACGCCTCCCACACGCTGGCTCAGATATGTCCAAAGATCAGGAGGAGGGTTAGGGTTAGAAGCTGATTAAAACAAGAATGGAAAGTTTAAAGTAACAAACCACTCAAAATGAACAGAGGAGTCATTATTGGGCCGTCAGGAGAAAAGTTTTCACTCCTGAGTGAGAAACGACAGATAGCAGAGGAGCGAGCCCTGAGGGATGCCAGAGGGACCAGCGTCTGATCTGTTAGTCTGCTTTTCTTTCAGGCAAAGACTGTGGAGGAGAAGAAGCTCTGGGCTCATCACATCAAACGCATCATTTTAGAGAACCACCCGGCAGCCATCCCACAGAAGGTCAGAGACCAGCACCGCGCTCCCACACCAGTAAGACCAGTACACCTCATTCGACGGTAACGGGACCTGCTTGTGTCGTGTGTTTCAGGCTAAAGAAGCGATTCTGGAGATGGATTCCGTCTGTGAGGAGGACTCTCTTCTGCTTTTCACCCTGCAGCCCTGCAGACGTGCTCAGTCTTTGTGACACTGTGGTTTCCCTGCAGGTCCGGCCAGGTACCGTTACAGCCCCGAGCGGCTGAAGAAGGCGGTGATGGAGGAGTTCCCCAGAGAGGCTCGTCAGGGCCGCAGACAGTCCGGTACTCCTCTGACCTCCTTCTCTTCTTCTTCTGCTCTACTCGGTGACTGTCCCTCAGGCTCACCTCACTGCTCTTTTTCTACTGCAGAACCGACCAAACAGATGCTGAGGAGGACTGAAGGTAAGTCATCCATTTCTGGCCATCAGCTGTGTTCTTCCTCACAGCAGCTTCTTCCTGTTGGATCAGCTCACTTCCTGTTACA